GCATTTCATGTACCATTGTCATGGAAACTGAGGATAACTAGGTCATCAGTGTGTTTCTATATATATATATATAAATGTCCACAGCAGGCACCAATAGTTGTCCAGGATAAAAGTCTTGTATTCTGTTGTGCTTTTTCTGTGGAAACTCCACTATACATTCAAAGTGAAACTGGGAATTATCATCAAGTTGAAAATTTGTTTTATCTATAACAACAATTTCTTAATTCAGCAACTGTTGTTTTTATTCTGCTCGGTGTTCTCCAGGTAGTGAATTCAGTGGTGTGTCTAACCGCTATCTGTTCCATTTGCCCCTTTGGCCTTATAAATAATGCAATCTTAACTTAAGCTACATTGCACTGCGATTGTAAAATTAATTCACATACTGTATAAAATTGAATAACATATTTCATTATTTCTAGGCACATATAAAGCTTACCGAACAGAACAAAGCAGCCATTAACCCACATCAACTACCTATCTACTTGAGTGCACAGATCAGAATATATCTTCCCCCTCCCTGAAATGTGTAGGTTTGCTCTTTTAATTAGTGCAATTCATTCAAATTTATCTACAAACAATTCAGATTAATAAGTTACTCGGGCTCATCTGGTCATTGTCTGTAAAATATTGCTGATATAAATGAGCTGCCACTTTTGTCCCAATAAAGGCATTCACTTCATATCTCATTTTGTGAAGTGCCTCTAAGTGGTACCTTCTACATGAAATGCTCTATATAAATGCCAACTCTTGTACTACAAAGAGCGTGGTTACAGCAAGTGTGCTCTAAATTGGGACAGCAAGCCATGTAAATTAAAACTACAAAGACTATTTGAAAAGATACTTGTATCTCTAAAACCATCTTTCATCTTCAGAGCTGTTTGGATAATAATAATCCTTGCATTTGATGCAGCGCTTTTCACGGCTTCTAGCCGTCTCAAAGCGCTTCACAGAATATACTGTGAAGTGAACTAACCGTATATTTGTGGGCAAAACGCAGCAGCCAATTGCGCACAGCAGTGTCCCACAAACAGTCGTGGATTGAAAATGACCAACTTATTATTGTTTTGTTTTGGAGGGATTATTATTAGGCGTGTGGAGTAAGGAAACTCGCCCAAGGTTTCACCCTGCCTGGATATAGAACTAGAAGGACAGCTAATCCTAAAAGTTCAGACTCTGGTATTCTCAAACACAGACCCTCATGTCCAGTCTTGTTACTCTTTGGGGTGTGGTTGTAATTGCCCTGGTTTAATGTAACCATCAGTCATTTTGTTTCTGTCCCTGAAATTATCAGCACAAACCCTCCCTGGAAGCACTAATGGTTTGCTCCTCTCCCTCCTGAGTGCATGTTAATACCTCAGGGATGATTTCTAGTTCCTGTCTAATCCTTCCTTGATGAAATTTCTTTTTACACTTCAGGTGCATTCACTGTTGATCCTTTGTTGAGATCACCAGCATAAATTACAGCTTTATAGGATTCCCCCCATCCCTTTCCAAAACCAGTGCCAAGATCGCCACTAGATCTAAAAGTGTGGACTGAACTAATGGACTGTGATTAGCTCTTAATAAACAAGATATTGACAAACGAAATTCTGGCAAGCCTGTCATGTGCAATATCATTGGTCAGGCAGTTTATTTAGATTATTGAGAGACAGGGTTCCTTCAGGGCTCCTGTGTTTCCATCTCTTTGCTATTCCTAAATTTAAATTGTCAGCCTCAAAATCAGTCAAAAATAAATGAATAATCTTCTTCCTTTGAAGTGCCAGGATACAACAGAACAAACAAATCATCAGCTTTTTGAATATCTGTTGTCCCTTGGCATCTTTATATACAAAGTATGTGTATATAATATATGTATATATACACAATATATAAATTACATGAATGAGATTGTACTTCATCTGGGGTAAATAACACAATGTAGTGTAATTCTCAAAGCAATAGATGGAATTTTTTAAAAATCCACCCAACCACATAAAATGTCTTAATAGTTAATGTATATTGAGCAAGCTAATGAATGTTTATTCCAAAAAAAAATTAATTGAAGCTAAGTCATTGACTGCTAAAGGGTTACATCTCCAAAGTAATGTCTGACATCTGAGATGGGATTAGTATAAAATAATCCTTTCACAGCTATCCTGGAGGTGTTGCAAGTACAGTGCAGTTCTAGATACATCTCGCTGTCCTGATTTAGCAACAGAATTGTTTGTAACCACATTATTTAAAATTCAGAACAATGCACCTCTGTACATAGCTATTTGTACAACCGTGCACATAGAAACAGTGCTACTTTCAATAAATGAGAGGTTGGGTGATGGATGACCAGTTATTGACGATGTGGTATGTTGAATTATCCTAAAACGTGGAAACAGAATAAAAAAAAGAAGGTTCCAAATTAGAAATCTGCTGTTTTTTTTATTCTAATTTCCTTTATCTTCATTGTTCCGATATTATAGTCCTGCTCCAAAGATGAGGAGTCAATGATGCAGGGTTAGGCCGTACAGATCTATAGAGACAATCAGTTGTTTTCTTCTCCAACATGCTCCATCTCAACATGTTATTCCATCTAGTGGCCCAGAAAGCAATGACAGATTACTGGCCACACCTTGGTAAGAGTCCCAGACACTCAAGGATCACATAGGTTTAATTTCTTATAATAATAATAATAATCCTTGCATTTGATATAGCGCTTTTCACGTCTTCTCGACATCTCAAAGCGCTTCACAGAACAGACTGTAAAGTGAATTGACTGTATAGCCAATATATTACATTAATGGCTGTGTAGTCTATCACTATGGTCACTAAATGGACAATTATTGTAATTGTATGTATGACGTGAAAGGTGCTATACAGACGTAATGGTGGTGGTGTTCAGGTGAAGGACTGAGATCTGGTAAGTGTCTCGAAAACACACTTGGAGTTTTATCCAAAGCATAGCTTTTAACTGAGCACAACTTTGCTCCAAAAGTATGCAATATTCTCATTTTCAAATACATTTCAGCCAGAGTAAAAAAAAATCATTATTGTTACTTCAATTATTAACCCAGCATTCTAAATGTATTTCTCATTTACTTTTTTTAAAAAAAAATCCTTGTATTTGATAGTTTCTTATCAGATCAAGTTGTCTCATGAGCTTTCATTCAATGAATTACTTTTGTGGGTGTAGTGATTTTTAATGTAGGCATATGCAGTAACTAATCTGTATCAATAGCATCCTAGGAATAGCAATGAGATGAATGAAAAATAAATGAANTTTTGAATGAGAGTGGACCATTTGCCATTGGGTCCTTACGCCCACCCACACTACCAAAGATAGGCAGTCAAGATCTTGTGGATGCCCTTTTTTTTATTGGCCCAGACCATCACTATACGGTACATAAAGAGAGGCTCTAAGAGAAAACAACAAACTAATCATTCTGCCAAACTCTCAGACACAAAAGGTTACATTCTGCCAAACTTCAGTCACAAAAGGTTACAATGCAGAAACTACAAACGACTTGTATGATCTCTTAAATCCAGGACACAAAAATAACCTTTATTAAATTGATATAGCGACGCTCCTGTTGGGAGGATGTCTCAAAGTGCTTCATAGGATTTACTGCAAGGGGTAGTGATTCTGTATTTTGTAAGTAATATTGGGGAGGGTGTAATGATATTGTGATATAACACAATATGATAGTACATCAAAACACAATGTGGTAGCGCTTCTCAAAAGGGTGCGGCATACAGTAAATGAGAAAAATATTTGGTGGTCCTTGTTTTCTGTGTAGGGAAGTTGAAGACTCATTCACGATGACATTTGCAGCACTGTATGTAACCAGACAAAAGATTCGATGAACCATTTCCACGGAATTGGTGCGTGTTTGTTCGAGGTATGTTGTAATGAAACGCTGTACTTTTTGAACGAGACGCATCCACATTCTGCCCTCACAACATTTGGGGATTTTGCAAAATGATGAAAGAGAGAGAGTGCGAGAGAGAGAGAGAGAGAGGTCTCAGGTAGTTATCACAAGGGAATGAAGAAACCCATTCATTCGGTCCATTTGATTGAATCCTTTCGTCGTCCCTCACAGGCTCAAATGAGTCTTAAATGAGTCCAGTGTCCACAGCAGCCGGGGCCGGCTCGGGGGTTGCCGGGGCCGGCTCGGGGGTTGCCGGGGCCGGCTCGGGGGTTGCCGGGGCCGGCTCGGGGGTTGCCGGGGCCGGCTCGGGGGTTGCCGGGGCCGGCTCGGGGGTTGCCGGGGCCGGCTCGGGGTTGCCGGGGCCGGCTCGGGGGTTGCCGGGGCCGGCTCGGGGGTTGCCGGGGCCGGCTCGGGGGGGGGGGGGTTGCCGGGGCCGGCTCGGGGGTTGCCGGGGCCGGCTCGGGGGTTGCCGGGGCCGGCTCGGGGGTTGCCGGGGCCGGCTCGGGGTTGCCGGGGCCGGCTCGGGGATCCTGGGGCCGGTCGGGGTTGCCGGGGCCGGCTCGGGGATCCTGGGGCCGGTTCGGGGTACCCTTCCTCAACAACCGTCGCTTGCTGATTGCGTTTGGGCGTAAAGAAAAAGAAGGAAATAACTCTTTTATCTCGCGTGCGGGGTTGGACCTCCTCGCTCCAATAGTGGCGCCCCCCCCCCCCACTCCCCCTCCCCCCCCTCCGCCCGCCCCCATTTCGCTGGACTCAACTCCTCCGCAGCCTGGAGAAGACACGCGTGTTTTTCGCCCGCCCGGCGCACGGTCGGTTCACTTTGCGGCGCATTTATTCCGCGAAGCGCTTCGAGTGGGGACGGCCCAAGCGACGAGGTGATAAGGCGCCACATCCAATGCAAGGATTGTTGGGCTAATTATTATTCTTCTTATTATTATTATTAATTATTAACGCTCGGTGTTTTCCGGGAGTTCAGGGCAAGTTTAACCGCCCGGTGGTGGTTTGCCAAGGAACAGGTGAGGATATTCCCCAATGAGAAGCTTGTCCACCACAGCCAGTGGCAGTGAGTGTCTGGGGGAGTTGGGGGTGGGGGGGGGACCCTTTGTTGGACCCGGACCTTTTGCTCCGGGCGCTGTGTAGCTCGGGGGAAGGTACACGCGGTGGGGACCGGGGCTCAGAACCCGCGGCGGTTGGTGAGGGCGCGCTCGCGGCCGGTAACCAGGAGCAACCGGCGCCGGGAAGAGGAGAGGAGAGTCGTCGCCGCCGCCGCCGCTGCCGCCGCCGCCATCATGGCGATGGCGAGAGCCGTCGCCGCCGCCGCCTGTCTGCTGCCGCTCTGCTACTTCTTACTGGCGGAGAGTAAGGTAGGGAGGGAGGGAGGGGCGGGGGGGGGGAGGTAACGGTCACTCCCACACCGCCGCCGCCGCCGCTCAACACCCCCGGCTCCCGGTATAACCAGCTCCAACGGCTATAGGCCCCGGCCCGCGCCCCGGGCCTCAGTTACGCCTTCCCGGCCCGCTCTGGCCTCGGGGGGCCGGGTTCACGCCCGTCGCTGCTGCTGCCGCCGCCGCCGCTTTTATTTGTTATTGTCGTTTTTCTTGGCCCTGACATTTCTGAATGTGAACCACATCACCGCCACCGCCGCCACCACCACCACCACCACCACACATGGCATCTACAGGGCACGTAGAGAGAGAGAGAGAGAAATAAAGACAGTAAGAAAGACAGTAAGAAAGACAGAAAGACAGAAAGAAAGACAGTAAGAAAGACAGAAAGAAAGACAGAAAGAAAGACAGAAAGAAAGACAGAAAGAAAGGGGAAGCCACACGTGTAAATGTGGTGTCATAACTGGAGGAGGAATAAAAACAATAATAATCATCATCATCATAATAATTATCCTTGCATTTGACACAGCGCCTTATCACGTTCGTCGAGACATCTCGAAAGCGCTTCGCGGGATACACTGTGAAGTGTCGTGGCTGTGTTGAGTATTTTACTTGCGATATAAATAGTCGATACAAACGTAATGCTGTTTCTGCTGCTGCTGCTGCTGCTGCTGCGAGGCCGGCCCAAGGCGCCCGCTCACGCGAGGGTTTGGCGCCCGAGCTGGGAGCTGGAGTCGGGAGGGGTGGAGGGCGAGAGGCACTGGCGGGGTACGAACTGAAAGCACGGTCACAGAGGAAGGTCCTTGAGACCGGCCGCGAAGGAGGCAAGGGGGTGGGAGGAGGTGGAGGGGCTCCAGGATGGAGTTCCAGCGGGTGGGCAGAAAGGCTGAATGCCCGACCGCCAATGGTGGGAGACGTGGGGCATGCCAGTGTCCGCAGAGCGGCGGGAGCGTTCAGGTTGGGAAAATGTAAAGTTAGGGAGGAACAAGTGAGGACGAGGGTCTTAAACTCGATCCTCTAGGCCAGGGGACGGGGAGCCAGTGAAGCTGGGCAAGGATATGGATGATTGGCTCACGGAGCTCGGTGCGGGCTGCAAAGTTCTGCATAATGTGCGGCTTGTGGAGGGAAGAGTCGAGAAGTCCGTCGAGCAGGGAGTTAGCATAGTCAAGCCTGGATGTGATGGAAGCAGGGATGAGGATTTTGGAGGCCTGAGGGGCGAGGCAGTGGTAGAGATGGGCAATGTTGTGGAGGTGAATTAGACAGAAAATAAAGGGATGAGCAGTCAACCTATCCCCCCTTCCATCTGCCCCCTGTGTATCTGCTGCTGTCCCTACAAACCATCCTGGGTGTGCATATTTCAAAGCATATTTCAAAGCCTTCCTAAAACGACAGTTCAGTTATGACTTAATTTACATATCTGTGGTGTCCTGTAACCAGTAGTTAGAGCACTTGCCTTGCAAGCTGGAGACCAGGATTCGAATGCCAGCAGGGCGAAATGTTGGGCAAGTTTCCTTACTCCACACACCTCTGTTTACCTAGCAGTCAGTGGGAACCTGGTTGTTAGTTGATTGGCAGATCGCTTTTCTGGGGGTAATAATCCCTTCAAAAAAATAATAGTAAATTGGTCACTTCAAACCACAACTGTCCGTGGGACACTGCTGTGTGCAAGTGGCTGCTGAGTTTCGCCCACAAAATATACAGATAATTTACTTTACAGGATGTTCTGTGAAGCACTTTGAGACGTCTCGAAGAAGTTATAAGGCAATAAATCAAACGTAAGGATTATTATCTAGTTATGGTTTGAAACCATCATGAATAAAACTATGGTTAATTATTTGTCTGCTCTATTGCAGAGTTTTGAAGATATTAGGTGTAAGTGTATTTGCCCACCTTACAAAGACAACGCAGGACAAATTTATAACAAAAATGTATCGCAGAAGGATTGGTAAGTAAATGCAATCATACATTTATCTTTAAAAAATAAGCTACGAACTATATTGATAACCAGTGCTAATTTCCAATTTCTGTGAAGGAAGTTACTTAAGTGACTCATTCACCAGTGGAATTGGGCACATGGTGCTAGTGCTCTGGAATGTTCACTTGCAGAGGTTTGAGCTAATGTTAGTCTTTCTTTCCTCTCCAAGTGAAATCTCTCACCACCTTTTTTACCAGCAGGACGTTTGACGATTGCTTTGAACACCTCCTGATGTGGCTTTACTTTGAAAGTATTTATGCAATTTTCCTCGTCTGTGGCATTATTTCAAGGCTTTTTGTTACAAAATCCAGTAGGTTGGATGATAGCCAATGATTAGGTAACCCAGTACCTTTTAGTAAACCCTTCCATGAGGGTTACAACATTAATTCCTTGCATTTCAATCACTTGTCAAGAGGTCTATTTTTGTTTCATCAGGAAAAAAGCCTCTTTTACATGCTATCAAATTAGCATCCTACCTTTTCTCATTCTTCTTATATGGCATTAGAGACAGACAATGGAGCTGTTCCTTTACTCCCAAACTTGTTCCTTGCCTTGTTTTAATCATAAACTCTAGCATGGATTTGCACATTTTGTTCTAACTGGCCTTTTATAGATGATCAAAGGGTAGTTTTGTTAATCCTTTTGGTATTTCCTCAATGTACTTAAATACAATACCCCATTATTGCTGTTCAATTAAAACCTCAAATGATTTTCATTTATTTAGTTATTTAATAAATAACCCCACATAATTAATCGCTCACTCAATATCCTGGCAGTTCAAGTATTTTGTACTTTCGAGATAGTGCACTTTGTATAACTAGTCAACTCTGATAAATAGTCATTGAACTACTCCTCTTGGGGTGATGCGTTATCAGAGGTTCACTGTACTTTAAAGGGACAGTACAGGAAACCTGAGAGAAGAGGGAAGTAGAGAATGTAAGAATCAAGAGGGTGGTGTCCAAAGGCATGATCAGATGTAGGTGGATACAATGCAGTTCCCTGGAATGTGGTTGGCGGCACATTACAAAAATTAAACTTTAAACAGCTTTATCAGTAAACTATTGGATTATTAGTTAGGAATGGAAGATAAAGGTGTGCTGTCATCAAAAGCTTGTTCTGAAAATATACTATTGCTGCTTTTTACTGGTTAGATCTCCATTCTTATATGTGTTGGCAGATAAATCTGATCATCTGAGGATCAGAATTACCTATCTGGTTACATCTTTACAGGTGTAACACAGCATACTCTTTATTTTGGCACAAATCTTATTCTTAGTTTTTACCATCAGATGGTGCTATTGCATAGAGTTCAGTTGCTAACTGAATCATGTTAATTCCCAGAATAAAAATAGCTAAAATAGTTTGATGTATTCTCAAAGATAACCTACAAAGATAATGTACGTCCTTTGTGATGGAACAGACCTCCCCCACCACCCCAGTCCTTTTACAGAGCAACGCTGGCAAGGTGTTACATGTGAAACCTATTGAAATATCAGATTTCTTTCTCCCCACTGCTGCTCCCCCCCCCTCAAAATAAAGTAATGTAGCTCACTGGATTGTTGTGATTGCCTATTCTTGTGTGATCAAATATTAATGGTAATGATATTGCTGTGGAATGCAGAAGAAGTTTGGNAAAAAATGATTGCTGATTTATATAGTGCCATTGAACTTAGTTATTTGGTTGAAATCTTGTTGTTTTTCAGTGATTGCCTACATGTTGTTGATCCCATGCCAGTTGCTGGGCAAGATGTTGAGGCCTACTGCTTGAGATGTGAGTGCAAGTATGAAGAAAGAAGTTCAGTTACGATCCAGGTAACTTCATACAAAAAGAAAGCTTAGAAGAAATGTGTTTCTGAAGAACCGTTTTCTCTTCACTAAATCTTTTTGTGCTAAATGTTTCAATTGTTGAAACATTAACATTGATTACATTCACAGTAACGATAAAGAAAATGTTTAATTTTGATAGCACTTGTCACATCAAATTGTTTTATGGGCATGATCAAATTCAGCATGGTCGCACTGATGGGGTAAATAAACAATTAATCTGGAAGTCTCTGGCCAGGAGAATGGGAGAAACTCCCTTCTCTTATCAAATTGTGCCGAGGGATCCTTTAACAGTTTCCTGAGTAGGCAGACAATGACAATTTTCTATGTGAGATGATGTACAGTATCTTGAAAAAACTGATCGGTTTATGTCAACCTCTCGCTTATGTCGACAAAATTCGGTTGGTCCTCAGCATGTCAACACAGGCTGGTAGCACTGTAGTAGGTTTATGCTATCTTTACTGAGGATTATAGAGTGATTTTTGGGGGCATTTTCCTTTCAAAGAAATTTTGAAACCTCTCGACTGTGTAACATGTTTGAGCTAGTTTCAGATTAATAATCCAAAGTATCCTTTTTTTTCTGGCTTTTTTATCCTTAGGTGACGATCATCATCTATTTGTCTATCCTGGGCTTGCTGCTACTTTATATGGTTTACTTAACATTACTTGAACCCTTGCTGAAGCGACGCTTGTTCCGTTCACAACTAATGCAGAACGAGGATGAATTTGCGGTGAGTCCTAATGTAGAAAGAGTGTAAATAGTCACTTTGGTCACTTAAGTAGGAACCCGGTTGTTAGTCGATTGGCAGATCGCTTTTCCGAGGGTAATACTCCCTTAAAAAAAAATAATTTGGTCACTCAATCTACGACTGTTTGTGGGACACTGCTGTGCGCAATTCACTGCCGCATTTCACCAACAAAAATATACAGTCACTACACTTTACAGTATATTCTGTGAAGCGCTTTGAGACGTCTTGAAGACGTGATAAGGCGCTATATCAAATGCAAGGATTATTATTATGGGTACAAGAGGCGAAAGTGGGTGACTTTTGATTATATTCATGCATTGACTCACTGCCGTATGTCGGCTCAATTGGTAAGTTCCATTCTGAAAATCTTTACAATTGCTAATAAAAATCCCTAGTACCAACTATTGACTGAAAGGCACAGCATTGCTAAAATGTGAAATTCTTGTGATGCATAGGGCTTGAGGTCATTCACTAAGTGGTTCCCACAGCTCTTTAAATACCAAGGTCACAGGACAGTTAATGTTTGCTGCCTTCTACACTTTAATACATATGGAGCACCTTTGATATTGGGCTGTCAAACAAAAAATAATGTCACAAGAGAGATGAGCAGGTCACCTACCTACATGGGATCAATATAATATTGGCACTGTTCCCAATAATTATGTTTTTTTCTGAATGCCAGTAATATTGCCCTTGATGATTGTGGGACGATCATAAATCAGATTTAGTAGCAGAATTTTAGTAGAGAAGTATAAAAAATTGTACTTCAATTGAATATAGTCAAGGGAGAGTTACGTTTTCCTTGTTATTTGTGGTGTTATCCCTGTGCTGCCCAAGTCTGCCATTATTTTGTAAGAATATGATTATCAATGATTTTCCAGCGGGTAACAAACAACTGGAGCAGGTTAACAGGAAAGGTGGTTGTGATCTATAACTGCACTATCAACGTAACTCTTCAAATCATGAGATTTGTTTGGGTCCTGCCAAATGCACTAAGTCTACAATATCTATGTTGATAATAGATTAATATGCATTCCTATCTTAAGTCCGCGTTTTCCTTCAACATCGTTTTATAAGTCACAGTAGGTCATTTTAGCTTTTTATGCTCCACTGAACTTAAGTTGCAGAACAAGCATGATTTTACCATCATCACAGGAACTTGCCAGATGTAATTAACAAAGAAAATACCCGAAAAAGAGGTATTGTTTATCCAAGGTACACGTAATACATTTCCGGTGCAATAATAAATCACATATGAATGACATTGATCCAGTATATTTTGCTATTCAGTGTGACTGAATGGGGAGAATATATTTGTATGTGAATAGTCCAGGTTGTCTAAAATTGGAGTGGATCCAAAATAAAAACCCTCATTGTGTGAACATATAATAACTGTTGGTAGAATCTAGTTTCAAATGAAGCCAGTTTACCCTGAGGCTTTTAGTTTTGATCGAACATTCAGGACTGACTCAGTGTGTGCAAAGAGGCTCTTTTAGATATTCAGTTACTGAAAGAAATAAAAGTTGAGCTTTTAAAAAACATTTTTGACACCACCAAAATAAAAGCAGTAGGGCAAAGAGCAATGTGAATTGAGCTGTTAGATGATGACTACAATAACAACAACAAAATTACATTTGTATAGCGCCTTTCACGTCGGAAGGACATCCCAAGGCACTGGACAGACAGAGTTACGAACCTGAGCTGATGGTCGGAGTGGGGGAGGGTGGAGGGCAGGGCGGGAAACAGGGAGATCGAAAGCATGGTCGAAGAGGAGGGTCCTGAGGTGGGTCTTGAAGGTGGCAAGGGAGGGGGTAAGACAGAGGGATTGCAGGACAGAGTTCCAGGGGGTGGGTGCAGAGTGGCGGAAGACCCGACTGCCGATATTGGGGTGAGCAAGGCGGGGGACATGAAGCAGGCCTTAGCCCGCTTAGTGGAGGGAGCGAACAGGGTGGTAGGGGGTTATGAGCCTGTAGCTCAGTGGTTAGAGCACTCGCTTTGCAAGCGAGAGACCTGAGTTCAATTCCAGGCAGAGGGCGAAACCTTGGGCAAGTTTCCTTACTCCACACGCCTAATAATAATCCCTCCAAAAATAAAAATATATTGATTATTTTCAATCTACGACCGTTTGTGGGACATTGCTGTGCGCAATTGGCTGCCGTGTTCACCCACAAATATACAGTCAATTCACTTTACAGTGTGTTCTGTGAAGCGCTTTGGGATGTCCTCCCGACGTGAAAAGCGCTATATCAAATGCAAGGATTATTATTATTATTATGAGGGCTGAGAGATAGGGGGGAGCAAGACCGTGGAGGGCTGTGAAGGTAAGGAACAGGATCTTGAACTGTATCCTCTGTGTAATGGGAAGCCAGTGGAGTTGGGCAAGGATGGGGGTGATAGGGTCGCGGACCCTAATGTGGGCTGCCGAGTTCTGGATGATCTGCAGCCTGTGGAGGGAGGAGTTGGGGAAGCTGACAAGTAGTGAGTTTGCATAGTCGAGCTTCGAAGTAATGAAGGCGTGTATGAGGGTTTCGGCGGCCTGCGGTGTGAGACAGTGGGAGCTGAGCGACATTGCGGAGGTGGGGAAAGGCAGAGCGGGTCATGGCACAGATGTGGGGTAGAAAGGATAGTTGGGGGTCAAACAAGACCCCAAGGTTCCGGACTGGCTTAGCAAGGTGAAGCATGCAACCATGGATGGTGCCTGAGGTGAGGAGGCGCTAACGGGAGCCAATCAGGAGAGCCTCGGTCTTGTTGACGTTCAACTGAAGAAAGTTAGCTCTCTGGATAGGGGCTAGGGTGAGAAGAGGAGATGGGGAGAGGTATAGCAGAAGCAGCTGAGCGGATTCCCTCGACTTTGGATTTGAGGAAGTCCAGCATCGCATCGCAGTTGGCGTTTGAGGTGAGGTGTGAGAGGGTGGACGGAGGAGCTAGTTCGTGATGGAGAAGAGGAGCCTGGGGTTGCCCTTAGCCTCCAAGATTGTTGGAGTAGAATGACGATTTAGCAGAGGCGAGGGTGGAGCGGTAGGATTTGACCTGGTCCAGCCAAATCTGCTGATGGACATGAGAGCCACCACGGCGATTAGGTTGAGGAGTGTGATGGAAGGTGTAGCTGGGTGGTGTGGCCTCAGTCAGAGGAAAGTGTCGTCTGGAGTGATCCAGGTTTCAGTGAGGGCGAGGATGTCGATGTGTTCATCGATGATGAGGTTTTGGATGGTGTGTGTTTTGTTCGAGAGGGAATGGACGTTTTGTAGACCGATGCAGAGGGGACAGTTGGTGGCGGAAAGTAGGGGGCGAGGTGGGGGGTGGGGGGGTGACGGGGCGCTGACGTGGAGGGGAGGGATGTGGATCAGGGAGGAGAGGTTGGCCCCTGTGGTCGACTATTGCGAAGTTTAAAACAATGTTGATTTTAAAGGGAAGGAATAAACACACATTATTAGTCTGAAGAAATTCGTAAGATCACAAGACAGGTTCAGATGAATAACGCTCACTGCCCCATTTGATTTCATCCTTTCAGAATAGCCACACTACTGTATGTCCATCACAGCATCAAGTTGTTTTCAAATGAATCTTGTATAGTCGTGTCCTCCCCAAATACCTATCTACTTCTCTCTTAAAAGTTGTTATTGAATCGACTTCCACTACCCTTTCAGGTAATGCATTCCAGATCCGAACAACTTGCTGGGTGAATGAAAAATTCCTAACCTCCCCTCTGTTCATTTAAACAACTAACTTAAATCGGTGTCCTCGGGTTACTGACCCACATGGCAGTGGAAACAGTTTTTCCCTGGTTCAACCTAAGAAATCATCTCTTGATCTGGAAAACCTCTATTGAAAGTCCCCTCTTAATCTTCTCTGCTCTAGGGAGAACAATCCTAGTTTTGCTATCTCTCCTCATATCAAAGTCCTTCATTCCTGGTACCATTCTGGTAAACCTCCTTTGCACCCTCTCCAATGCTTAACATCCTTCCTAAAGTGCGGTGCCCAGAACTGAACGCAGTACTCCCTGAGGCCTAACCAGCATTTTATAAATATTCAACATAACCTCCTGACCTTTGAATTCTATGCCGCTGTTTATAAAACCTAGTATCCTGTTTGCGTTTTTAACAGCTTTATCTACCTGTCCTACCACCTTCAGAGATTTGCTTATGTGGACCCCTAGGTCTCTCTGGTCATTTGCCCCCTTTAAGATTGTACCATTCAGCTTATACTGCCTCTCCTCATTCCTACCAAAATGCAACACTTTGCATTTCTCCACATTAAACCTTATCTGCCACGTTTCTGCCCATTTTACCAATCTGTCTAAGTCCTCTTGGAGTCTGGTGCTGTCCTCCTCACTATTAACTATTTATCCTAGCTTAGTATCATCTGCAAATTTGGAAATTGTGCTCCCTATATCCAGGTCCAGATCATTAATATAGATCAGAAAGAGCAGTGGTCCCAATACCGACCCCTGAGGGACACCACTGCACACCTCCCTCCAGTCAGAAAAGCAACCATTTACTACCAGTCTCTGCTTTCTGTCTCCTAGCCAGTTCCTGGATCCATGTTGCCACAGTCCCTTTAAGACCGTGGACTTCTGTTTTGTTCATAAGTCTCTTATGTGGCACTTTGTCAAATGCCTTTTGAAAATCTAGATAAACTATGTCTACTGCACTACCTTCATTCACTCTGTCAATTCATCAAAAAATTCTATTAGGTTTGTCAGACACGATCTGCCTTTAACAAATCTGTGTTGACTGTCCTTTATTAAATCATATTTTCCTAAACGAGAATTTATATTGTCCCAGATTACAGTCTTCAGAAGTTTCCCTACTACTTGTGTTAGGCTGAATGGCCTGCAGTTCTCAGGTTTATCCTTCTGTCCGTTTTTTTTTGTACAGGGGAGTAACATTTGCAATCTTACAGTCCTCTGTTAACCTGCTCAGTTGTTAATGACCCTATGGAAAATCAATTCTTTGGGTTATCTATCCAGAAATTGTCCTTTA